ATATGGATTTAATAGGTTCTAGTATTGCACAGAGTCTTTTGATGCGCGCACCACCTGTTGGTATATTTTTATACAACCTATTAGTATATAATACTAATATTATAGATGTTAAATGTAGTTTATTGTGGTTTTTAAATGAAAAACGTTTTCCATCTTCAAGTTGAAATCAACCGCTCTTTAATAAAAAGAAAGCATTTCAGTTAACAGATATCAAGATCGACTTCAATAAATTTGAATTACATAACAACATTATTCGTTAGATATTTCTGTCAGTTCCGGGTTGCTGCGGTTCCGGTTAAGATCCATTGACCAAATTTACATTTTTACCAAATAAAATGTTGAATATATAATAAACAAAGATTGCGGGCAGGTAACATTAATATCAACAATTCGCATTATTAAGTAGCTCGTTCTTGATGGGGCGTGGTAGCCGATGGGTTTTACAATTGTGAAAAAATTACTGTATTCTAGGGATTTCGTGCCAACATGCAAATAAGAACAAAATTAATAATACTTCAGTTGAATGCTTTGGTGCTTTGGTTGGTTTAATTTTCATGTGTTATTATTTTTTATTTTTTTATTTCAATTTCTTAATAAATTTTAAAATTTTATAATATTCGCGTGCTAACCCACTTGATTCCGTATTTAGATTTTCAATGGTCTACAGTGCGGACTTTTACAAGTCATTAATAGCAAAGTGGAATGTAAATATGATATCACGACTTTGTTGTCTAATCACTATCAAGAGAACTGCGAGAAGCTAGAAAAGTGTGCGAAAGGGCAATTAAAATATCAAACTTTCCATTTCAATATAAGATAAGACAACTTTTCACTCCAAAAAAATATTCGATACTTTAAGTATTATTCATTTTTTCTTAGATTTAATTATATTCGCAAATATATTTAATATTTCTGTATACTTCCTACTGTTTTAGGACTTAAGAGAAGACATATCCCACATAACCTCAACAAGAAGTCCTTCAGAACTAAATACAATTTTCGCATTCAACTTTTGATTTTAACGACCCCCTTGTAGTTTATTAAGTAAAGTAAAAAAATATTCTTATAAGAAGAAACAAAAATAAACCAGCTTTAATATTAATAACGAAAGAAACTTTAAATTATACAATTTACAATTTAATTTTATTTATTTTTTTTAAATATTCTGTGCTTACAAAAAATTGGTAACAAAAAACTTGTCGAACTCGTGCATGACGCCAAGTAGCATAAGTGATTGGAATTACAATTTCCATTGCGAAAAAGTGGCTTCATGCACCGCTCTTGGTGTTCCCCTAGTTAAGTTGTCCATTTGCTGATTTAGCACCGTTTCTTTTTTATGAAAGTCTCGCATGGCATTTGGCCATCATCATCGTCTCAAACAGCAGCTACAACAACAAATTTGCAGTTCATCATCAAATGCATTTGGTCACTTCTAGTGACTTAAATACGAGTACGTCCGCACTCCGGCTCGATATCCGTCTGTCTGCTTTTCTGTGCATACTATATATGTCAAGCTTTTTATTGATCAATTTTCCTTTTGGCTTCATATCTGTCTGTCCACAATGTGCGGTATTATTGAAACAATGTTTCATTGGAATTTTTCGCTTAATACCGCTTTATGTTGACAGCAAAATTGATTTAATGTCTTGTTTAATTTTCTTCATTTTCTTCCTAGTATTCCTTCTTCTCTAGACTTTGTTTTAATCGGTTGAAATGAGTTACATATATGTACATATATGATTTAGCTTCTTCTTCAATGATTTTAAGCTTGGAGAAGAAAAAAATAACAACTTTGTAATTAAGATAGAAATATATCGCGTTATTTAATATACTAATGTTTATATTAATTGATTTAATTATAATCCATCATGGTTTTTATTTTTTTTTTTATTTTTATATGAACAGTTTTACTTGATTGATGTCTTTTTCCATCTAATTAGTTAATATTTCATCCGCTTCTAACATATTTTTCTTCTTCTTCTTGTTATCGTTCTTCTTCCTCTTTGTCTTATTAAGTTCTTATAGGACGTAAGATTTCCTTTAAATCACATTGGGTTTACTATATACTTTGTTTTATTTATTAGCTGATAATATAAATTCACACTCAATAAGCCTCCTTTCGACTGTTTATGCTCTTTGGCACAAGACTAATTTCTTCCCTGTAACTCCATTTTGACTCCAGTAACTCCAGTTTCGTTTTCGTCTCTTCATCTTCAAATGAAGGTAGTAAAATAAAATATGCTTCGTGTTCCTCTGTTCGTTCCCGGAATACGAGCGCTTCACGTTTATATTCGAACAAGTAGCGCTTGAAGCATCCATTTCCACTAAGATATTGCTATGGATTTTTGCTTTAGAATCAATACAGTGTTCCAGTACAAGTCTAATTAAGTTGAAATGGCAAAACCAACTAATTATAAATCATCTAACAATCAAATCAATCAAAATGGATGTAACCAACATAAGAATCAAACCACTAAAAACACGTCCTTTACACAATTATCCTCATGATTGATTATGACTGTTCATCAGTTCCGCCTTACAAACATTACGTCCTGCTGCTACTATATTTCAAAGACTGCTTCCTCAATTATTGCCTCTCCATTCGACGCAATTACGAGTGAAATCTGAAAGAAATGAAACCTCTGCTACCCCTGCTGCCCCTACTGCCGTCTACGAAAAAATCACAATTGAAAAAACTTTTTTTATAAAATGCTACAGTTTAAAATAAATTTGTTTATAACCTAACGGTATTGCAAACATTATACAAAATAAAAAATTGCTTCTGAACTTTTAAAACATAAAACTTTCCACAAAGTAAAGCATAAATTTTTAATGTAATTTTCATTTTAGCAAACCGCAAGGCATATGTAAGGTCTAAACTTTCCATAAACAACCCACATTATCACCCAGTAATATATATTACAGACTTGCTTTACATATACAATACAATATAATATATTTATATATATATACATACTCATATACATATAGTAATGTTTCTGAAATGATAGAGCGGCTTATTTTTTTGGTGTGGGATTTTAAAATTAAGTTGCCACACGAAACGGGGAAGTACACACGCAAAGGAAAGCGCAAAATATTACAAATAAGCAAACAAAATAAAATTATTAGAATGCAGTCTGCTGTATTCTTTGATGTGTATTATTTTCATTTAATTTCATTTTTATTTGTATGTTTATTTTTTTGTTGATAAATTCTACAATTAAATATTTTAATACAATTATGCCAATTGACATTAAAAAAACACTTCTCGACCAAATCAAACCGATAATCACCAATCAAAGTATTCGAAAACAAATTTTTATTAACACTCAAAAAGTCAGGATCTCTAAAAGACAATAACAAGACAAAAACTAAAGTAGAAACAAAATATTCTACCTACCTAGAAGTCAAGAGTTGAATGGCTTACAAAGCAATGTCGGCTTTCAGTGCATCTTTCAGAAACATACAACATTTTCACTAAGTGGATATCAAAAGACAACTCAGTATTCTCTGACCTCGAAGGAAATGTAAGCATCAAATAACATCCATAAAATCATAAATTATAGGTTTTCCTATCAGCAACAGAATTTTATAATGATGATTGGCATGCTCACAATATAACCCTGATCATAGACGACAACGATGGTAAACGGTCTCTAAGACATGAAAGTAATTTCGTCTCTAGTCCTGGACAAAAGTATAGAAAATTAATGGATTAAATCTCTTCTTTGTCGTGGCAATTCTTACACAGTTCACTTATTAGAATACTCCACCGTTCAAGCATCGATGCAATGGTCTAGTGCCCCATTACTACTGCAGTAAGTATACGAACTCCAGGTTTGATAAAACCTGAAAAAATTTTCATGTTATTACTGTCTAATTTAGGACACAAGATTTTAAAAACCCCGAAATCTTCTTGATTAATCCACAAGAAATTTGTCATCGCGATGGTTAATTTTAATATGCTTCCAAAGAATTTAAACAACGTGGTTTGTATCAAAGTGTCAGCCTCACTTATGTGCATTTCAGAATCTCTTCTGACCATCTTATCGCAATAAGATATTTTGCGATTTTCGGAATTCATCAGGGAGGTACATTTCATCACAATCCACGATTTCAGCGTTCAAGTTTCAATTTGTTTCTTAGCCGACTGTCTGTCTACAAAGAAAGTGATATTCGAAAATCAGATTGTAGTAGTCTATATAACCCTGATTGCTCTTATGATTTCGATTATCTCCACCTAACATACACTGCAAGTGTCTGGGAATCGGTATGATTGCTGTATCTGCAAGTGTATACTCCCTGGCGTTCAACTCTGCATTTTTAAGACATCTATATAGATGATAACTGCAGAGTTACCGACCACAGATACCGACTGCCACCTATTTCCACAAAAGTAGAGAGTAGAAATAACAAAACAAATAACTAAAACTCTTAATATCATATATATTTATGATTATTTTCTGACATTTTCTATCAAGAGATGTTTGAATAACACAAAAATTGGATCAGTGGAAGAAAGAGCCATACGTAATAATACGTTTCCACTGGCTTCGTTAGACCAGTTAACTTGCTTGAAATTCAAGTATAATATTTTAAGCAATCTCAAGCAAGTTAACTGGTCTAACAAAGTCCGTGGAAGCACACTATAAAGATGTAACGCCATCATATTGAAGTCTGATGTTATATTCGGAAAATTGAAATGTATTGATTTTAATTTAGCTTCTGTACTCATTACTTAGTACATAAAATTTATATATTTTGTTACTGGAATATAAAATATAAAAATAGCTTTAACAGCAGATTCAATTTGAAATCAATTTAAAATCGTTAGTAGCTTTTAACTGAAATGAAGAGTATGTCCAGAATTCGTATAACGTCATAACTGCATTGGTCCAAAGTGGCAGATATAAAAGAAATAATAAGTTTTGCTCATGAAACACAGTTTTAAAGCTGACTATTCAAAATAGATTATGCCAAATCCGAATCGACTGATATGTCAAAACAATGACATTTCCAAAATCACGCTATAATTGAATATTTATTGCCGGTGTCATATTTTGTATTGTTTTTTAATGAAACTAAGCCTATTCGGTGGTCATTTAAGTAATATTTTTAAAAACTCCAAACATATCTATCATAAAAATAGTATTAGTGCGAATGCCATGGCATTAAATGAAGCTAAACGTATTGCTGCCAATCAAGCAGTTGATGAATGGGTGAAACCAGATACTGCTATCGGTATTGGAAGTGGTTCAACCGTAGTTTTCGCAGTTGAACGACTTGCGCAACGAGTGCGTGAAGAAAAATTGAATATAACATGTGTGCCTACCAGCTTTCAAGCGCGACAGTTAATTGTGGAACATAACTTAAAACTTGGCGACTTGGACAGAAACCCCAAACTTGATGTAGCAATTGACGGTGCAGATGAGGTTGATAAGGACATGGTGCTAATTAAAGGTGGTGGTGGTTGCTTGTTACAAGAAAAAATTGTAGCTTCGTGCGCTAAAAACCTGATTGTTATAGCAGATTATACAAAAAATTCTCAGCGCTTAGGAGAACAATACAAAAAGGGCATTCCAATTGAAGTGGTTCCAATGGCCTATGTACCTATACAGGAGCATATATTAGATGTATTTGGAGGCAAACTACAGTTGCGTATGGCAGTATCTAAGGCAGGTCCCTGTGTTACAGACAACGGTAACTTTATTCTTGATTGGCAGTTTGACTCGGACTGCGCATTTAATTGGTGTGATGTGAACACTAAACTACTGCTTATACCGGGTGTGGTTGAAACCGGTCTATTTGTTGATATGGCCACTAAAGCATATTTTGGCATGGCAGATGGCAGCGTTAAAACACAAGAAAATGATCAATGCTCATAATTCTCCTTCAAATAATATTATTTTTAATAAAAAACTATAGTTTGTAGTGTTTTTTCTTTTTTAATGTCTTACAAAAAATAATAAATAATTTTGTCACTTCATCTCTAGAAGAATGTATATGTTATTGCTTTTTCGTCTTTGTTACTTATGTTAGTATTTAGTGGGACTTAGTTACCTACTCCAAACTCCAAAGTCAGATGGTGTCAACCTTTTAAAATGACTTCTTATTGCGCGATGGAAATATTGAATCTTTAACGTAATTGAAAAGCGATAGTAAGCCTTGCTTTTTACCACGTGCGAAATAATGAGTCACAACATCCTGATCGCCTAAAATCGAGAGAAATGTTATATTTAATTACTTTAGTTTAGTATGTATTAAACTCCATCTTAGTACTATTGTGTAAAAATGTACATTCAAATAAAAAAAGTCCTAATCGTCGCAATGTTAAATTTTCTTTTTAGTTATAAAAAATAGTGATATAATTACTAGGAACTTGCCACTTTAGTTTTATGACATCTCTGTTAATGGCGGATAATGACTGCAATAATTTATTCAATCTAATCAAGTGTATATGTATGTTGTAATTTCAGTTTATAGCAGCGCCAGAACAGTTGGAATGGGCCTGTTACTTAGCTTGTAACCTCGACCTAGACTAGTGTTAATTATACCCAATCACACTTTCACTCCTCTAGCTCACGCAACTGTTATTCTCATTCTATCTTCGTGGAATGAATGAACGCGACACCCAGATGCTCATGACACCGGTGAACTTAATACAGTTTCGTGTTTAGGTTGCTCTTGGAGCAAAGACAAGTTTTAGTAAGTTGTTGGAATACCTCCAACGGTCAGAGAGCCAAACAGCATATTCGAAATATGCAAATATTGCTTCCTCGTAATATATTCTAATATTCCGTACAGATAATGTAAATTAAAATCTCTTATAATTATATTAATAAAGCATACAATTTTTAAGGCTTTTACATTTAAATTAAAAAAATTTACCTCTCAGATAGCTGTTCTCATTCACTGTAGGAAGGACATTGTCATTAGCGTTTAATGAGACGAATAACGCAAACGGCACAATCCACAAGCAAATCGTAAAGTACGCCAAAACCTTGAATGACAACAACTTTTATTAAGCAATCAAATATACCAACTATAAATATATAATATACCTGTGTAAAAGGAAAATAATAGCTTGTAAAATACTGAAAAGCCAATAAATGATTAATAATCAAAAATATAACAGCGCCAATGAAAGGTACTGACAGAAATCGTATAGTCGGAAAGTTACGCATAATAGAAAAATGAAAAACTTGTGCAGCAAAACCACATAATACCATCTTCCAAGGCAGATCATCGAAGAAAATAAACATTATATATACGATGGTCGTAGATATGATCATTAATAAAATCGCCCGCCGCGCAACGGTAATGTATTCTTCGACCAACTCAGCCAAATAGTATAAGCCAGCAGCTAAAATATAGCATAAATAAACACACAACACAATTCATGAATAATGTTTACCTATTGAAATGGTGACAAAGCATACTTGCAGCACCAACGAAACCCAACTAAGTATGTATAAAAACGTCATGTTCTGGCAATTCTCTTTGTTTACTCATCAGAAGAAAGTGCACAATTATTTCACCTTATTTGCATTATATAATATGTGTGCAATTAATATTAAATTTTTGCCTTTAATTGAGATACTTTATTTACACAAATTTTGCCAAATCAACTTTGTTATTAAAATAAATAGAAATTCGGCAAATAAACGTCAGTTGTGACGTTTGAAGTAGCACAGCTGATTATTAGATGCAATTCACAATAGACATTGATGCCAATCTGCCAAAAAGGCGCGTGGTGTTCTATAGGAAACAGAATTTCGTCAAGACGCAAAACATTTATCAACTCGGAGATACTATTTGCACATTGTCAATTGTTTTTAAGTAATAAATATGAGTAGCACATAAATTAAGGTACGATATCAACAAGTTAGAGATTTGGAAATTATGCATAAATTTCTAAAAAAGCAATCATTTTTAATATATTGACGTTGACGTTGACGTACCGTAGTATTTTAAATAGCTTCGTAAAGGTACTAAATTTATTTCGAAAAAAAATTAAATCAAATAACAATGCCACCAAGTGATGAAGATAGGTTACCAAATAATGAAAGAAACAGAACAAATAATGACGAACAACAACAGAACTTGCAGGTTAATCCACAAGAAATACAAGATCCAGTAGTTCATGATGAAATATGGCCTTTAAATTTTCATTTGCAGAATGCGGAAATGAATGCATATGACGAATTTTTGGCAGAGATCGCTGCTCGCCCTATTCTTATGCAGGATGCTTCAACTTCTACTAACAACGAAGGAAATAATGCACAAAGTGGAATAGCTGAACTAAACGATATGCCAGCAGTATTGCAATTATGGGAATCAAAACACACACAGCCGAATTTCGATCCAGTTCCCTTATTAATAAAGTAAGTATATGTAATAATAAATATTTTTTTTTACTTATTTACAAATGCTGAAAACAGATTGGCTGAAATATTTGAAAAAGAGTTTGATGTATACATGCGTAAAGATCCAGATCCTTTCGATGAAAGACATCCATATCGCACAGATCCAAGTTGCCAGTATGGACTCCTACTTAAGCAACTATTTCGTAAAGAGACTTTTATGAATAAGGCAAGTAGTCCGTTCAGTATAGTTGTAAGAAGATATCGTTTCTAATGACTCACAATTTTATTTTCACAGCTTTTAAATGACTATTTACGTGATAATTATTTTTCACGCCACAATGTAAACAAAAGTTCATTAGAATTGAATATCATTGCATGTCGCATTATATTAACCATTATGCCTGGTATGGAAACTTCAGCGGTGTGGCAAGATGAGGTAGATACTCTTATAACACGTTTATATAGTTGGGCAGAAGATAGTATAGAACCACTACAAAGTTATGCTACTGGCTTATTAGCATCTGCAATGGAAGTTCAAGAAGTCGTTATGTCTTTTCGTGAATATAATGTACGTTTAGTGCCAAAACTCCTCCGACGCCTGCATATGTTGCAAGCGTTTTATAAGCCTTCAAACGACTTTCAATCGCAAATAACACCAAATACCAGTGAACAAAATTCTGCAAACATCTCAGTCGAAGCGGAAGCAACTTCAGTTGTACAGCGGAACCTACCAAACTGGATGGTTGACTCCGCCCCGCAATCTCCACAACGTGTAGAAGAATGTCCAATACAAAACGCAACGACCTTAACACAGGATAGTGTAGCCAATAATTCCAATTTATCATTGCTATTAGAAAATAGCCGCGATGCTCTAATAAATGGCAACAACGCTAGAAAACTATATATTCCCATACATCCTCCAACATCAGAGACTAGTCAAATGCTTATTTTGAGATTTTTAACTGCTATGGGAGAGTATCAGGACTTACTTGGTTTGGTTTTTGAGAACAATACCTTACAGCTTATAAATGGTTTCATAACAAACATTGACAGAGGAGATACTAGACTGGCATTTGAAGCATTGAAGTACCTGGCGTCGCTTTTGGTACATAAAAAATTTGCGTTACTATTTATTCATTGGGGTGGCTTGGAGGTAATGCCTTGAATTTGTAATTGAAAACTGTATGTATACAATTGAATTTTCATTCAATTGAATTTCTTTTCAGCATTTACTTAAAGTGCCGCATTCCAGCCTGGCATCTACAGGTGTTGCCATTTGTCTCTATTATTTGGCATATTCTGAAGATGCCATGGAGCGTATTTGCACTATGCCAAAGTCCCTTATTAAAGAATTAGTTTCATATGGCTTGTGGCTACTGGTGCGTTCTTATGATTCCGGAAAATGTCATGCTACAATGTTTTTCGGCTTAAGTTTCCAGTTCAAAGTCATACTTGATGAATTCGATAACCAGGATGGATTGCGAAAATTATATAATGTGGTATGTGCACAAATAGTTCATTTAGAAATAGCTTGTTTATCTTAATTTTTCGTAGACCGCGATTATGAAAATACTTAATCCTACTAGCAGTGAAGACAACACAGAAACTAACGAGGATGTAGAATGTGCGTCAAGACAGCTGGTGCGTCATGTATGTGTCGCATTAAAACGTTACATGGAAAGTCATCTGTTTTACAAATTCAATGACTACATGCGTTCGCAGTGCCCGACATCGACTAACTTTTCCAAAATTATTACAAAAGCAACCAAAGCGAATTTGGAGCAAATTAATGAACAAGTGCGAATTTTACAAGAACAAATCACTTTGCGTATGTTCTGGAAACCAGTAGACCAACTGTTGCGATTAGGGGGTGTAAAATTACTATTAAACATAATTGCTTTGTCGTATGACTGGACGAACAGCGGAAAGTACGTATGCTTGTTTATAAATATGTTTGTATGCTATTAATAACTTAACAAATTACTTATATTTAAAATATTTAGAGCGGAAACAATGCGTTCAGCGCTCGACGTACTATCGATATGCTGCGTAATGCCACAAGTATATCAGGCGCTTTGCAATCGGTTAGAGATTCCAGACAATACGATATCATCCGGGATGTCAGCAATACTAGGTTGTGCTGCTGGTGAAATTGCAGATGGTGAGGTGCAAAAATCCGCTCTAGCAGTGGTTTGCAATTGTGTTTGTTCACCACTTATGAAGGTTAGTTTTTATAATTTGGAAGAAAGCTTGAACCACTAGTTCAAAGCCTTAGCGCTTTATATTTATTTTTATTCATATATGACACTTACGAAAATAATTGCTTACAAACCAAATTTTTTCCATTTTAGAAAGAACTAAATACAAATAGATGTTTAAAGGAACCTTCAACTACCAAGGCTTGGAACGCAACGAGACGTATGCGAAATACAAAATACATTGAAGATTTGGTACAAAAAGCTTGGGAATCTGTCTGCTGTAATAGTGGTATTATTGTGCTGTTGATGTTGGTACAAGTTAAAGCACCAATAACGGACGCTGATTGCATACGCGGTATGGCGTGCAGAGCATTAGCGGGCCTGGCACGTTCAGAACGTGTACGTCAGATAATTGGAAAACTACCGCTCTTTGCTAGTGGGCAAATTCAAACACTAATGCGAGATCCTATTTTACAAGAAAAACGTGCTGAGCATGTGATATTTCAAAAATATGCGTTGGAGTTATTAGAACGTGTCTCGGGTAAAGCAAAACCAACTAACAATCAACTAGATCCTTCACTAGCCAATATACACAAAGCAAATGTTATAGCCCAGACAAAAATACAATATAATGAACAGCAATTGCTGCAATTAATATGTGAGCACTTAGATTCGAAAGGCTTAACCCAATCTGCACAGGCTTTGCAAAGGGAAGCTGGCTTGCCTTCACCAATCGTTACTACAAAATTCTTTCATCAGTCACCATTCGACTATAAAGCGATGTCTTCTTCGTCCATGGGTAGAATACGTTTACGAAATCGGATGCAAGACGTCCAAGCAGCCATTTTGTATTGTTCAAATGACCAAATTAATGAGGAACCAAGTGCAAATAACTCACTAACTGCAACCCCCATAAAACTTGTTAAGAAAGGAGAAAAAGCACATAACACAAGTATAACAAATTTGAATACATCGAATGTATCCTCACAGCGTTCACTTCAGAAGCAAATTACCTCCTATTACCACGATAACACGTTGCAAGACACTGATGGTATACCTAAGATCAACAGCATAAGTCTTAATACTATTGTTACGGAATATTTAACTAACCAGCATGCACTGTGTAATAATCCAATGACAACATGCCCACAATTCGATCTGTTTACTCCGCATAAATGTCCCGATCCGAAACCAAGTCGTGTACTAAACAGTCTTCATAACTTGACCGCCCGTGTATTTAGAGCACAATCCGGTTATAATACAGCTACTTTGGATCGACGTTATGTTCATACAAACATCGCACCATGGCATAGCATACGTTCCAACGATTACAATGAAACGCAATTCTCCTGTTGCTCCTTCCTGCCAAATTCAAATCTAATACTTTGTGGTACACAGCAAGGCGATATCAAAGCTTACAACGTCAACGATTGCACCGAAGTGTTCACATTTGACTGCTGCAGCGACTGCATCGATGTTATAAATGCCAATCGCAGAGGTAATTTAATACTTACCTCATGCTCTTGGCGTACGTCCATGAGCATACTTTGGTCTTTAAAAAATAATGAAGTGATGCACGAACTTGACTTTCCTGAAGACACGTATTGTGAATTCAGTAGTCTTGCACAGGATAAAGTACTGGGTACAATGGCTGAGGTAAATACAATATTATTTCTAATGTTTGAAAATTGCAGATTTTAATTCGAATAAATATTTTAGATTGCACATCTTTATGACCTTCCAACTGGAAAAATAATAAGTACATTTAAGCCTTCAATATCGAATCAGTATTCGAAAAATCGTGCTACATTTCATCCCACCGAAGAGATAGTATTATCAGGTAATTCAAAAGCTCGATTGAGAGTATTTTTTATTTGCATTTATTTTTTAAGATGGAGTACTTTGGGACATAAGGGTACATAAGGAAATTCATAAATTTGATAAATTAAATCAAACACTTTCTGGGGTATTCCATCCAAATGGCTTAGAGGTTTGCATGTTTTATTTTATTAAATTAAAAATAAATATATCAATCGATTTTGTTTGTTAGATAATTTCCAACACTGAAATTTG